ACCGAGTGTTAAGGTAAGATAACTCTTGCTGCCCATAACCTGCTCTCCGCCTCAAGGTTGAACGAAATATCAGAAATGGCGGGGAACCATGCACGGTAGTTCGCCAAATCGCCTTGTTCAAACACTAGCGCAATTCATATATCCTGATTTGTATAAGATAAATCTCTATGCCACTTTGCTTAGACTATATAACACTGCTCGAGCTACATGTGGGAGCTCTCCTGCCCGGTCTCGTTTCGGCGAGCGAGGAGAGTCTCCAGGTTCGAACCTTGGTAATAAAGAATCCTTGCTGCTTAGCTTGGACTCTGGACTACATGGTGTCTTCTTCAGGACCTTGCCTCAGAACTTACAAAATCTCTGGTATGTGCAAAACAAAATCTCTGGTACGTGCAGAAAAACAGGTGCTCACAGAACTTACGAAATCTCTGGTATGTGCAAAGATTAGAGAGCAGAACAAAGGTGGGGGGGGGGCGGGTACACATCTATCTTTGTGTCCTTTCATTATCTCAGTCAAATATGGCGGCCTCCTTGCCCTTTAAGAACTGCATAAAATTGCTTTACCTGGTCAGTTCCACAGCCCGTGGGAGCACAACGCCATTCTCATGACTCTGGGATTTCTTCACATCCCCAGGGAGCCCACCTTCTCTTGGCCTCGCAAAGTGTTATGATTATAGGCATGGCCAGGCGCCGTGGCTCAAGCCTGTAATCCCGGCACTTTGGGAGGCCGAGGCGGGCGGATCATAAGGTCGGAAGATCGAGACCATCTGGCCAATATGGTGAAACCCCGTCTCTACTAAAAATACAAAAAACTAGCTGGGCGCGGTGGCGGCGCCTGTAGTCCCAGCTACTCGGGAGGCGGAGGCAGGAGAATGGCGGGAACCCGGGAGGCGGAGCTTGCAGTGAGCTGAGATCGAGCCACTGCACTCCAGCCTGGGCGACAGAGCAAGTCTCTGTTTCAACAAAAAAAAGAAAAAAGAAAGAAAGAAAGGGACACTCTGGTGTTCCTGCAGGGCTGACAAGTCTATCAGTTCCCAGTTGACTGAGGTGGAAAGAAAATATCTTCCCCATGTAGATTAATCTTCATAATTTGGGCCAAGCACGGTGGCTGACACCTGTAATCCCAGAACTTTGGGAGGCCAAGGTAGATGGATTGTTTGAGCCCAGGAGTTCAAAACCAGCCTGGGCAACATGGCAAGACCCTGTATCTACATAAAAAATTTAAAAATTAGCCGGGCATGGTGGTGGGCACCTGTAGTCCCAGCTACTTGGGAGACTAAGGTGGGAAGATCGCTTAAGCCCCGGAGGTTGAGGCTGCAGTAAGCCATGATCAAGCCACCACACTCCAGCCTGGGCAACAGCAAGACCCTGTCTCAAAAATTTAAAAAAAAAAAAAAAAAATTAAAAATTAAAAAACTTTTATAATTTGAATGTTTCCTAACATAATTTAAATGACAAGTTTGATTTCTGTCGAAATACAGTCTATTAATAACTTAGCTTTGAGGAAGAGAATGAAGATGTTTCTGTTCATTTTAAATTATACAAAGACAGGAATTTCTTCTTCAGTCATTGCCACTGACCAGGTTATTTTTACACTAAGTATAGATTTAGCTGTTAATGTATACTTCTATTTTTGGATGAGGTGAAGATTCATAAATTAGTATATATGTGTTAAAAATATTTGTTATGTCCCATAATTTGGGAAATTATATGCTTTAAAATTTTAAAGAATAGATTCACCATGAATTACCAGCTTGCACTATGACTTTAATGGGCCCCAAGTGGCACTTTGGCCTCCATGGGCTCCTTTTCTAGAAAAATAATAAACATTGAAAATTAGATTTTATGGGTTCATTGGTATAAAGATTAATAAAATCCATGCTGGATTTATTATTACATATTTGTTATTATATAATACTTAACATTTTTCTTTTTTTCCTTTTCTTTCTTTCTTTATTCCTTTCTCTTTTTTTTTTTTTTTTTGAGACAGAGTCTCACTCTGTCATCCAGGCTGAAGTGCAGTGGCGCGATCTTGGCTCACCGCAACTTCTGCCTCTCGAGTTCAAGCAGTTCTTCTGCCTCAGCTTCCTGTGACTACAGGCACGTGCCACCACACCCAGCTAATTTTTGTATTTTTAGTAGAGACGGGGTTGTGCCATGTTGGCCAGGTTGGTCTTAAACTCCTGACCTCAATTGATCGGCCAGGTTGGTCTTAAACTCCTGACCTCAATTGATCGGCCTGCACAGCCTCCCAAAGTGCTGGGATTACAGGGATGAGCCACCATGCCCGGCCACTTTTTTCCTTCTGATTTAAAAATAAACTAAAATCAAAACATTTTTACAATACTTTTAAGAGTCCTTAAAAATGTTTTGATTTAGTTTATTTTTAAATCAGTAGGAAAAAAGTGACCTGGTGATGTGGCTCATCCCTGTAATCCCAGCACTTTGGGTGGCCATGGTCGGTGGATCACCTGAGGTTAGGAGTTCGAGACCAGGCTGACCAACATGGCAAAACCCCATTTCTACTAAAAATCAAAAAAAAAAAAAAAAAAATTAGCTGGGTGTGGTGACAGGCACCTGTAATCCCAGTTACTTGGGAAGCTGAGGCAGGAGAATCGCTTGAACCCGGAAGGTGGAGGTTGCAGTGAGCTGAAATCTCACCATTGCACTCCAGCGTGGGCAACAGCGCAAGACTTTGTTTCAAAAAAAAAAAAATATTGTAGGCCCATAGGCACTGTGCCTACCTTGCCTCAGGGGAGGGTCAGCTTTGCTGAATTGTCCTATAAAGTTAGAAACAACCAACACATGTTCCATGCAAGGACTGGTCCTATTCCTATCAACCTTCATCCCTACCACAACCAACACACACACACACACACACACACACACACACACACACACCTTTTACATTGAAATGAAAGCTTTCAAAGTTGTCTCTTCAGGAAATAACACTTTGATTCTAGTGATACTGTCATGACTGAAGTTTTTCTAAGAGCTAAATTTGGAGAACTAAGCTGAAAATATTACATTTATGATTTGTTTTTGATATAGAACTCTCTTGATGAAAATTATATTTTAGCTACAAGAGAAGGATTTGATTTTTAAAGTATTAAACTTTGAAAAAGCCTAAGTGTAAACTTGGATATTGTATTATATGTGTTTGGCTAAAGTGTTCTTTTTTAAACAAAAAAAACAAAGGTCATTTAGCGAAATGGTTACAAAATTAAGCTTGCAACCCTCTGCTAAATAATAAATATGTTTTATTGCTGAGTGAATAACTTAGAATTGTATTTGTCCATTCACCAGAAACAAACAGTATCTACCCTACTTTTCTTGCAGTATATCCTTTCTGTAAGCAGAGAAAATCTAAACAAGGATCTATTGACTGGTAAGTCTAATGCTTTCATTTACCAGTTGTCATTTTGAGTAAAGCACATGACCCTAATCTTGTCATATGATTTACTGGATTTGTTTGCTGCTCCTTTCCATGGGTTATGAAGAGCAAGACTATGTACATTACAAAGTCCTTCCTGAAGTTAGGTATGATAGCTCATGCCTGTAATCCCAGCACTCTGAGAGGGTGAGGCCAGGATCGCTTGAGCCCAGGAATTTGAGACCAGCCTGGGCAACATGGAGAGACCCTATCTCTACAAAGAATGAAAAATTAGCTGGTGTGGAAGCGTGTACCTGTAGTCCCAGCTATTCAAGAGCCTGAGGTGGAAGGATCACTTGAGCCAGGGAGGTCGAGGCTACAGTGAGATGTGAGTGATGCGATTGCAGCACTGCACTCCACCCTGGGCAACAGAGGGAGACCCTGTCTCAAAAAAAGAAATAAATAAACGAAGTCCTTCTTGAAAATATCAATTGCCTAAAGTTTTTAGAGATGAGGTCTTGCCGTCACCCAGAGTGGTGCACAGTGGTGCAATCATGGCTCACTGCAACTTCGAACTCCTGTGCTCAAGCTATCTTCCCACCTTGGCCACCCGAGAAGCTGGGACTACAGCACATGCTACCACATACGACTAATTTTTAAATTTGTTTTAAAGGTAGAGTCTTTCTATGTTGTCCAGGTTGGTCTTGAACTCCTGACTCAAGTGATTCTCCCACCTCAGACTCCAGAGTAGCTGGGATTACAGGTGCTAGCACCCACTTCACTAACTATTCTCTGAACTGAAATCATTTGTTTAACATGTACTGAATCCCCATGGTCTCCTAGGCACCAAGTGAATGAGTGTTCACGCTGAGGAAGAACTCACACTCTAATGGAACGATAGATAAACTCAAACAATTCGCAAAGTGACACAATTAGATTTGCCTTTTGGGCCAGGCGCGGTGGCTCACGCCTGTAATCCCAGCACTTTGGGAGTTCAAGGATCACAAGGTCAGGAGTTCGAGACCAGTCTGGCCAATATGGTGAAACCCTGTCTCTATTAAAAATACAAAAATTAAAAAAAAAAAATTAGCTGAATGTGGTGGCACATGCCTGTAATCCCAGCTACGTTGGAGGCTGAGGCAGGACAATTGCTTGAACCCAGGAGGCAGAGGTTGCAGCAAGCCGAGATCATGCCACTGCACTCCAGCCTGGGTGATAGAGGGAGACTCAGTCTCAATAATAAAATAATAATAATAATAATAATGATAATAAAGATTTGCCTGTTAGAGAGATGAAAAGCCGTAGTGTGAAGACTGAGAAGGGGTTGCAATCTTCAAGGGGTTTCCATAATCCCTGGGCACAAAAGGGCCCAAGAATAAAGCTATAGTAATGTGGTTGGAAAGTAGGGTGTAGATTCATGATATTTGCAACAGAATAAATCGATAGATAGGGGATATAGAAAGTTGAGAAAGAGAAAGGTGTAAAATATAACCCTGAAGTTTTAAATTTGTGTAACTAAAAAAGGCCTACCTATTCATGGGAAAGCCACTGGATTAAAAATTAAATTTGTAGCTTGCATAGTCAATCCAATCACACCCCATGTATCCCTTACTAAGTTTAAGCCTACATTGTAGTTGCTTTTCCTCCCCTCAGCATTTGTATTAAACAGATTTATTCCCAGCAAAGCATGCCACTTAATATTTCTACTGTCTTTTAAACTAGTCCCTCGTGATGGAGCCCAGTAGACTGTGATTTTTAAATAGAGGCTGTACATGATTTATCTTTGTTTCTCCACAATCCCCTCAATATATCTACTGAATGTAACTGAATCTAATGGGATTAAACTGGGACGGGAGGGCTATGAGAAATTTCACTCTAGTTGATTCACCAGATATAAGAGAGAGGGTTAGTATTATTATTAATTGTATTTCTTTAGTTATATTTGTCAGACTGCCTTTTGGATGGGTAGATGGGTGGAGTGGAGGCAGTTTGCTAGGTATATTCAGGTTGATATCAAGAAAGCAAATGAACCAGCCAGGTGCAGTGGCTCACATCTGTAATCCCAGCACCTTGGTAGGCTGAGGAGGGACGATGGCTTGAGCCCAGGAGTATAATTGCACCACTGCATTCCAGCCCTGGGCCACAGAGCAAGTCGTCAACTCAAAAAAATCAAACAAAACAACAACAAGAAAAACCCACAAAACAGCTGTTACAAAAAGCAGTATAGCAGACCTATGACACCGTCTTTCTAAAATCCTCTCAATTTATCAAGATAAAAATAACAGCAAACATCCATTGAAGCACCAAGCTCTATGTTAAGTGTTTTACATGCATAGATTTGCATAACCCTTCCAACAACTCTATGAGGGGGAAATTACTTTTATTTCAGTTTCACAGATGGTGAAATGGAGGCTTAGAGAGCTTGGATCACACTGTTAATAAGTGGTAGAATCTGGATTTAAATTTGAGTCTGTTTATCCCAAAGTCCATGCTTTTAACTATTATGACTTCTGCCTCCGATATTATATATAAAACATCTGTTAATACTAAGGAACTTAAAACATGGGAAAGGTACAATCTTAGTGTACACATCAGAAGTTCCCCAAATTGTTTTTCATTAGGAATGTGCTGCATGGCACACAATTTCATAAATGCCATAAATACATCAATAAAATGAATGCTGAATCTCTTCACTCTTTGTTGGGCATATAAAGTTTGTTCTTTGTTTACGGGGCATCAAATGTGGGAGGTTTTCATTCCACATATTTAATCAATTATAAATGCTCACTTCTCCCTAACTGCACAAGCTCGCCTCTGACAACATTGTCTTTCCATGATTTCCCTACACTGGCATTTCATGCGGGATCGTTTCATGGTTCATCCGCTGTTCTGTGAGATGTTAATAATTGTTAAGCCAAAGCAAACAGACAAAGGATGTGTGGCCAAACAAGTTTGACAAATCCTGCATCAAACAAGTGTTCAGCCTTTTTTCTTATAGTACTTCTCAGGGCTTTTATTATATTCTTGGTCTGCATTGCAGATCTTCCAGAGCAGCACAGTCCAACATGTGGCCACAAATACCAGGCACATGTGTACTTTTCAAATTTATACTAACCGTGTTAAAAAAAAAAAAAAAAAGGAAGAAGGTGGTGTTATTTTTAATAAGATACTTTAACCTAGGCCGGGCACAGTGGCTCACACCTGTAATCCCAGCACTTTGGAAGGCTGAGGTGGGTGGATCACCTGAGGCCAGGAGTTTGAGACCAGCCTGGTCAACATGGTGAAATCCCACCTCTACTAAAAATATAAAAATTAGCTGGGTGTGTTGGTGGGCACCTGTAATCCCAGCTACTCAGGAGAATCTCTGGAATCCGGGAGGTGGAGGGTGCACTGAGCTGAGATTGCGCCATTGCACTCCAACCTGGGCAACAAGAGTGAAAATCTGTCTCAAAAAAATATATATATATTTTAACCTAATATATCCAAAATATTATCATTTCAATATGTAATCAATATCAGAAAGTTATTCACTGTCATTCTTTTTATATATGCTTTTTGTTCTAATTTGCCAAAATGTAATGCAGGCAACACATCTCAATTTAGGATAGCCACATTCCAAGCACTCAAATGCTATATGTGGCTGGACACTAGGACAGCACAGCCCAAGACAAAGTATTCGGCATTACTCTTCTGTCTTTGACAACAGAACAGTTTTTTTGAGGGAGTATATCCCAGAACTAACGTTCTATAAAAAATTATTTAGGATGTAATACTATACACTTATGTAAAACATAAACATAATTTTGTTAAAAGTTTATGTCACCAACACATGTTATGTTTCTAAAATATATCCTTGGCATATCAGGTCAACTCTGATTACTTCAAAGTTATTTGCCAAACTACTTCTTATACATAGATGAATTTCTTTGGTTTAGGGTCTGTCAGGTTTTGCAAGAAAGTTAAAATCTTCAACCTCCAAATCAAACTGAAACAAAACAGAGTAAAATAAGACAAGATTGAGATGAAGAGGGGAGATAAGTACAGGCAGGAATAGAACTCCTGCCTTATTTTCCCCATTTTTTTTCAAATTCAACATTCTTTTTATGTACTTTTTTGACATACAAAAAACTGTACGTAATTAATGTATACAGCTTGATGAGCTTGGTCCTTAATTTTTTCACTTTGTGTGACCTCAAGCATTTGACCTTTACTTCCAGAATCTTGGTTACTCCCTTTTTAAGATGAAGGATTTTGAACTAAATCATCTCTGAGGTCTAGTCCAGCTCTGACACCTGTATTCTGATTTGTGCCTTTAAGAACAGTAAATAGGCTATATTTATAGATGAATACATGAGCATTAATAGGGACAAAATCATATTTTCCTGTTGTAACAAGGGCATAATTAATAGTTCATAAACTGAAATTCACTCAATTCTCTAGAGTGCTAGCAGGCAAAACAGAAAATTATGAAAATAATTTGTTTCAGTTTATTGAGAGGTTTCAAAGCTTTTTACTCATTTTCCCCCTAACTATTCCAGTGTTTGATTTCAAAGAGATTTAAAGTCAACAATCTCTATTTGTGACAACTTCAATCGGAATTCCGGAAAACTAGCTAAAAAGAGATATAGAGGCATGCATAATATGAGGAAAGGAGTTTGGCTGAATATTTCCAATCACAGCAAAGCCTTAGATTAGAGGCGATGTCTGAAATATGAGATGCTTGCTTCTTTTCCAGGGTGCTAATAATTACAGCAATGCAAGAGTTTGCACAGTGGAATCAGTTGGATGTTTCCTTTTTGAGATGAGAATAATTGATTTTTATTCATCTGTTTTACTAGCAAATTATACTGAAATAGTTACCAAACAGTTGTCAAATTCCATTTAAGTGAACTTATTTTAACATTGTTATGAATAAAAATCTCTACCATACTGTTCCCAGAAAACAATTAATATTTCAATTTCATTAAGTGAAGTAAGAATTGAAATTTCATTCTGTTTGCCTCTTTCTCCATTTCCTCAGCTGCTGAGAAATACCCCAGTGTGAAAATGCACTTTAACCACAAGCTGTTGAAATGTAATCCAGAGGAAGGAATGATCACAGTGCTTGGGTAACTATGGGTCAGGTTTTAGACTTCAGAGCTGAAAGCTGGGAGTGGAGAATTGTATCCATAAACTTTGTTCTTTGGCTCTTTTGAAAGGGTTAAAAGATTATTGAAAGGATCATCCAAATAGTTTCTAGATTCAAGGAATTTTAGATTGAAAATAGGCCCTAATCCATCTGAACACCAATGCCAATAATTCTTAATTCTCATACTCGCTCACCTTCCTACTGAACTGTATTCCACACTGGTGACTCTAATGTGCTTCAAACTCTCTCCTCTCTCACAAATACGTGGCCCTCCACTGCTGTCCTGTTCTCTTTCCAGGTGCTATTTCTCTGCCTTTCCTCGGACAATTCTATTTCCTCTAAGGTTCCAAGCCTCATATCCCACTCTTGCGATATGCTATGGATCCACATGCATGGGTTTAACAACCACATCTCTAAGATGAATATTTCCAGTCCAAGCCTCTTTCTTCGTTCTAAATCCTTATAGAAGCTCTAATCAATTTATGTTAATTTCCCATCACACATCCTTGCTGGAACATCTTGCCATTATCTCAGACACATCTAAAACCTTGATCACCTGCTTCTCCCAGATCACATCCCATTCCTGACTTCCCCAGAACTAATGCCCGAATAATTAGAATCATTCATGATGTGTTCTTCCCCCTGTCCTCTCCCATTAAATCTAGAACACTCCTCAGTATCTCCTACTTTCTACCAGCTTAGAGTCTGTCTTCCTCCTTCTAGCTGCAGGACAGTACTTCTGGCTGTCATCCCTGCACATGTACTATAATATGTTTCCATCACCTCATCCCTGTTTTCTGCTCCCTTTGGCATTCTGCCTTCACTTCAAACTGCCAAGGAAGTTTTTTTAAATTGCAACTCTTCATACATCATTCCCCTAATAGAAAAGTTCAGTTTCCCTTTTGCCAGAATAATGTTTTGAAATCTTTTATCTTAACATTCAAGATTCTCTTCTTTTCCTCTCCCTTTCTCTCCCTACCTTGTATTCTTTTCTTAAGCTTTTCTTCTAATACCTCTGCTCAAGCCAAATGTATTGTTAGAAAATCCTGGTCACATCCTTGTGGTTGTACATACATTCATTTGTACACTTGGAACACTTGCCCTGTTTTCAAGGTTCTCCTTCTTCATGCAAAAATCTCAAATCCTGTCACACTTCTGTGGCCTACCATGTCTTTATTAATCAGTAGGGTGTTGTGCTATTCTCATAAGCAAATGTATGACTGGGACAAGTGTTTTCATCTAAATGTTACATCTATTAACTCAAAGCTCCAAATCAAACATGTAAAAGTGAGCTTTGTAAGTTATCTGTGGAGCCACTACTTCTCATACCCCGAGGTACATCATCATTTTCACCACTAGACATATTTTTCTTTTGGATGTTTTGTTCTGTTTTTCAGATCTGACAAAGTTCCCAAAGATATCACTTGTGACCTTATTGTAGGATGTGATGGAGCCTATTCAACTGTCAGATCTCACCTGATGAAGAAACCTCGCTTTGATTACAGTCAGCAGTACATTCCTCATGGGTACATGGAGTTGACTATTCCACCTAAGAACGGAGATGTAAGTCCTTGCCCTTTCTCAACGCCTTCCCACAACCCTTGCACCATGAGTGCAAATGCATATTCTATTGCAGTCATTCTCAGCAACATGTCTTGATCCATTTTGAGGCCTATCACAAGAACTTTGTAATTAATAATAAATTGGATGCATAGGTATCTTTTTAATAATATAATTCTCAGTCCTTTCTTTTTTGATATGCTTTCTTGAGTGAAAAAGAAAGGAGAAGGCTGGGCATAGTGGCTCAGGCCTGTAATCCTGGCAATTTGGGAGGCCAAGGTAGGAGGATGGCTTGAACTCAAGAGATCAACACCAACCTGGGCAGCATAGGGAGACCCTGTCTTGGTAAAAAATACAAAAATCAGCCAGGGATGGTGGCACACCCTGTGGTCCCAGCTACTTGTGAGGCTGAGATGGAAGGATTGCTTGAGCCTAGGAGGTCAAGGCTACAGTGAGCTGAGATCATGTCACTGCACTCTATCCTGAGCAACATAGCCCAATCCTGTCTTCAAGGAAGGAAGGAAGGAAGGAAGGAAGGAAGGAAGGAAGGAAGGAGGGAGGGAGGGAGGGAGGGAGGGAGGGAAGGAAGGAAGGAAAAGGGGAGGGAAGGAAGGAAAAGGGAAGGGAAGGGAAGGGAAAGGAAGGGAAGGGAAGGGAAAGGAAGGGAAGAGAAAGGAAGGGAAGGGAAGGGAAAGGAAGGGAAGGGAAGGGAAGGGAAAGGAAGGGAAGGGAGGAGAAGGGAAGGGAGAAGTTACAACCCTCCTACTGGAAACACATAAAGGATTTGAATAATATCATTTGTCTATGTTCTCTTGGGAGAAAAAAACAGGTTGATGATGAATCCTTCAGTATACTGACAATCCAGGGTTCTTATAACCATGATTAAATCAAATAATAGTTATTAGATAAAATGACTAGAAAATGGTTGCAAAGTGATTTCTATTGTGTTTTTCTCATTTCCTGGTTAAACCGTATGTGACCACAGGCAAATAAGTGGTATGTAATTTTTGATGTTGTCATAAGCAAGTAAGTGTAGGAACTTGTTAAGGAAAAAAATGCTAACAGAAACAGTAAGGATATTGGCTTATAAGTATGGATATGCAAACAACATTAAATACTTGATTTGCATATAAAGCATACATTTTTAAGATGCTGATTTCATCTATCCTCGGAAATCCAGACAACTGTAAAATAGCTAGTCAATATGGGATAGTGTTGTTAAATACTAAATATCTGCCAGTAAAATCCATATTTTCACATTTCCTTACCTTTCTATTTCATCCTCATGGTCAAAATGCATTCGCTAATTTTTTAGTGCTTTTTGTACTGGTTTTCAGATAGCTTCTGTTCTCATGGCCTAGAATCTGTAACTCTGGATTATAGGATAACAGAATTCTGCTGAAAAATTGTTCCACACTTAAGAACTGTGCTTGCTAGATTTAAGAAAGCCCTTTATTTTCTAGGTATACATAATAAATAGTAATAATTGATGGTTTTAAAAAATGTCTCCACTCTTTTAAGAACATTGTTTAGGCATAGCAATGTGACTCAGACATGGGAACATTTTGCCATGGCCCAAAAACAGTCTTATGAGACTCTGTATTTTTCTTTGTGTCTTTTTTTTTTCTTTTGTTCTTAATGTAATGCATGAAATAGGCACTTGCACTCCTCTGATGGTTGGAGTGGGGGCAAGAGATTGGGTAAATGGCTTTCTACCACTAGTATTACTGTTAAAAAGAAGTAATTGCTTTTCATATGTATTCCTGTTGCCTATTCGACTGCACTGTAAGGTCAAGAGTTATGTACGTATTCATTTCTGTGTCTGTGTGTTGGGCTTTCTTTGGGAGTCCGAGGCTAAAAAAGCAAGAAAGGCAAAGTCCCTTCAGCTAAGACACAAATAACTATGATACAGTGTAAAAATGTTTGCCGCAAGACTATGCTGTTTTTTCGGTATTCTTACCATGTAACATATACATGGAAGGTGCTCTCAAAACATCTGTAGAAAAATAATACACATTTGAAATAATTGGAAAATTGTTTGCATATTTCCATGTATATAATACCCCTGGGAACCTTCAAAAATTTGGGTCACTTGGGTCTTTGGGTCAATTGATCTACCCAAGCAATTAATACTTATTCAGGCTGTTATTGTATTAATAGTAATTACAGAGGACTTACTAAAGAGATAAGACTCTTCTCTATTATTTATGTTATAGGAAACAAACGATAAGAAGCTTGTTTCTAAAATTTTGGTTTGGCTCATGAAATTTAAATGTAAGACTTTTCTGTCCAGTATAGATAAATTCTGAAATAAGGCAAAAGATAAAGTAAAAAAAATTATATAAATATATACATAATGTGTGTGCATACATTATACATGTGTGCATATACACACATGTACACATCTAGATATGTGCATGTATGTGTACTTATATACCAGGTATAATTATACCAGGTGTGATTCAAGATTTGAGAGCATAAGATGTTCCCTCTCTCTCTGTCTTTTTCCTTACATATACACACACACACACACACACATGCATGTATTCCGAAATTTTGAATTATACCTGGTGTCAAAAAAACCTATCTAAGGTTGAGTTTATAAAGACAGAATACAAAGTGTTTTCTAAGACAACTTCTATTTTATGTAGCAGTAGATGTGCATATCATCGTATATATGGTACTGGTTTTAATTACTGTGGAAACTATTATAAAGCTGAGTCTGTTTTATAGGTTTGCTATATAATTGCACTAATCAATCATATATTCTTTTTTCTGCAGTATGCCATGGAACCTAATTATCTGCATATTTGGCCTAGAAATACCTTTATGATGATTGCACTTCCTAACATGGTAGTATAGAATTTTTTATCAACTGTAATTTTGCATCTGTAATTAATGTTGTTTATTACTTACGTTTGTACTTAGAATGTATATACCTAATTGATGTCTTCATTGTTTAATCTATTTAGTGATTATAGCTTTGAAACTTTGGGATGACTGAGGAAAAATCTGAAGGATTTCCAGTTATTTACTTTGGAAAGGAGATTTAACTTAAATGAATGGGTAACGAGAGTTTATGTGTGGTGGTGCCTGTCATCTCCACTAAAGACAATTTAGGAAGAAATGGCCCTCCCAGAAAAGCCAAAGAGATTAGGTTGTCTATTAGGAAGCGATTCAGCCTTTAAGGTCTGTAGTACATTGGAATATGCATTATCAAAAGAGAGAGCATGGGGCTGGGCGCAGCGGCTCACACCTGTGTTCCCAGCAGTTTGGGAGGCCAAAGCGGGAGGATTGCTTGAGCTCGGGAGTTCGAGACTGGTGTGGCCAACATAGCAAGACTTTGCCTCTATCAAAAAAAAAAAAAAAATTGCCAGGCATGGTGAAATGCGCATCCCCAAGTACTCAGGAGGCTGAGGTGGGAGCACTGCTTGAGCCCCAAAGGTGGAGGCTGCAGTAAGCCGTGATCATCCCATTGCACTCCAGCCTGGAAAGCAAAGCAAGACCCTGTTTCAAAAAAAAAAAAAAAAGAGAGCATGGCTTTTCTTTCATTAGACCCTAGAGACTTTTTTCCTAGGTAGATATCGCTGTTTCCCAGGTTGGGGTCTTTTTCTTTCTGTTGGTATCTGTCCTGGGGTCCAGGGCCTAGTAATACTATCTTAAAAGGAAGAAAAAGAGATGTCAAATCTAACCAACCTATTAGTTATTTAAAGAATGTAGGTTGGGCGTGGTGGCTCATGCCTGTAATCCCAGCACTTTGGGAGGCCGAGGTGGGTGGATCACCTGAGGTCAGGAGTTCCAGACCAACCTGCCAATATGGAGAAACACCGTCTCTACTAAAAATACAAAAAGTTAGCAGGGTGCGTGCCTGTAATCCCAGTTACTTGGAGGCTGAGTCAGGAGAATCGCCTAAACCCGGAAGGCGGAGCTTGCAGTGAGCTGAGATCACCCCACTGTACTCCAGCCTGGGCGACAGAACAAGACTCTATCTCAAAAAAAAAAAAAAGAGTGTAGTATTTGCTGTGTGAAAATGGAGAGTTTACAATATAGAAATTGTCCTAATAATCAAAGAAGCTGGAGAACACCCCTGGGACTTGGCAGAGCTTTTCTTTGGGAGCAGTGGAACAAAGTGACAGTGCCTTTCCTGTCTGCTTGGACATTCCTTCCAAAAGCTCCCTGGTCACAGCAAGAAGTCCTGTGATTTCGGGATCCACCTACAGTGCCAGCGTCACTTGGCCTCTATCCCCTTTCACTCTGTTTCTCTTCTTCTCACAGAGCAAATCATTCACATGTACTCTGTTCATGCCCTTTGATGAGTTTGATAAACTTCTAACCAGTAATGATGTGATAGATTTCTTCCAGAAATACTTTCCGGATGCCATCCCTCTAATTGGAGAGTAAGTTGCAAGATGTGCCTTTTGCTGCACTTGTTTGAATTATTCCAAATTCAAATAAAGGTTATGCACCTGATTTCAGTTTGGGTTAAACATGATGGATCATGCAGTAACCTGGACAGAAACCCACATTAGAGCAAAAGTCTAAGTGGATATTGTGCTGTGAGCAGGAATTCTGAAAAACACCCATGCCGTGGCCAGTTCCTCCAGGAAAGATGAGTCACCAATGTCCCAAGGCTTTTGTGCATCTTATGCAGGTTCCTCAGGCTCCTTAGGGCTTGATGTGCCACAGGAACTGGCTGAACTTTTTTCTACTGGTAGATACACAAATCTTTGGCCCAGCAGATACATCTGGCAGCCTCAGGTCTTGGATCCTATACCTACTAGCCACGTAAGCTTTCCCATATTCCACTCATGGTAAAAGGTTGATAAATAGTAGAACCTATCCCAAAGGGTTGTTACAAGGACTAAATGAGATCATGTCTATAAATCATTCAACACAAGGCTTGGTGCATATTAAGTTGTCTGTCTAGACACCTCCAATGATGTCTTCATGAAGGCAGCGCAATGCTACAGAGAGTATGCCTTAGTCAGTTCAGTGAGCCATAATAAAACTACCATAGACTCGGTGGCTTATAAAATACAGAAATGTATTGCTCACAGTTCTAACGGCTGAGAAGTGTAAGATCAAGGCACTAGCAGATTCAGTGTGTGGTGACGCCTCACCTCTTGGTTCATAGATGAGTCTTTTTCCTGTGTCTTCACATGCTGGAGGGGGCATGGGATCGCTCTGGGGTCCCTTTTATAAAAGCACTAATCCCATTAATAGGGGGCCACTCCCAGGACCTCATCACCACCCAAAGGCCCCATCTCCAAATACCATCACATTGGAGGTTAGGATTCCAACCTATGAATGTTAGGGGAGCATAAACATTCAGTCTATAGCAGAGCAAGATTTTAATACAACTTCCGCCCCTTACTTCCCTGAGTTTCACCTTTAAAATGGGTATCTACCATAGGGCATTTGTGAAAATTAAATGAGCTAATTATGTAAAAGGGATAACCCACTGCTGGCCCATACCGGGTCTTTTAAAAATTGCTAGTCACTTTCTTTCCTGAAGACTCATTTAGTCTCTATGGATCCCTCCTTCCCCAACTGTGAAGAGAAATCTCTGCACACCAGCATTAGCCCTTGTGTACTTTCACACTGGTTTCATGGCTATTTTTTGCCTTTCCAGCCAGATTTAAGATTCTTGAGGCTAGGTACTACTTGTCGACTTAGAGCTTCCTCAACACTTCTACAGATGCTTTACAAATACTAGGTTTTTTGTTTGTTTTTCATTATAAGGACCATGTTGTACAATAGATCTCTTGAACTTATTCTTCCTGTCCAACTTAAAATTGGTACCATTTCACCAAATGATTCCCATCCCCCAAATGCTAGTTTTATTACTATTATCCATTTCGAAATACATAAAGATTCACATTAATTTCAATTTTGGTTTATTGTCTTCTAATCAAATGCACAGCAGCATTTGCTCAATTTTTTTTATGGAAACCTAAAATACACTGCTGTATTTGAAAATCTCATGGCCCATGTGCATGATAATAAAGTTTTAATAACATATGATACAGAAATATTTAAATTATTCAAATGCAGCCAAACTCTTATTTTTAATGTGATGAACGTTGTTGCAGACCAAGAAGGTAATTAGAATAATGGAATTTTAGGACTGGAAGACTTCATTTTTTCCCTTTTCTGTTTTCTTGTTGGCATTCTTGTGTATTTTTCAACAAAACTTCGTGATAGTTAATTTAGTAAATCTGAAAGAATTTAGCAGGATTTAATACCTGATTTGATGTCTTTACATTTGGATTATTTTCCTTTGAAGGAAACTCCTGGTGCAAGATTTCTTCCTGTTGCCTGCCCAGCCCATGATATCTGTAAAGTGCTCTTCTTTTCACTTTCAATCTCACTGTGTACTGCTGGGGGATGCAGCTCATGCTATAGTGCCGTTTTTTGGGCAAGGAATGAATGCGGTAAGTTCTTTTTCCCTAGGTAAGTCCCTGAAATATTTCTGAGTCAGTCTCAGCTAACAAGTCTTAAATAAAAAACATGTCTAAGACTATCCCCACATAATCCCTGAAAGCACAGTCAATTCAGCAATCATACCAGCTGTGTAGCTAGATTGATCACCAACTCTAATCAGAATTTGGATTACTCAATCCAGTAATCCACAGTAGAAAAAAGCAGAAAGCATAATGCACTCATCCGTTGGTATCACCAAGGGATCAGCTCCAGGACCCCTGTGGATACAAAAATTCATGGATGCTCAGGTCCCTGGTGTAAAATGGTATAGTTTTTGTATATAACCTACAGAGAATCTCCCGTATGCATTTTTACTTCTAATGTTTTTAATTTTTAATTATTATGGATATATACTAGTTTTATATATTTATGTGATATATGCAATATTTTGATTCAGGCTACAATGTATATGACCATATCAGGGTAATTGGGGTATCTGTCACCTCAAGCATTTGTCATTTATTTGTATTAGAAACACCCCAATTCCTCTCTTTTAGTTATTTTGAAATATACAATAAATTATTGTTAACCACATTCACCCTATTATGATGCCAAATACTAGATCTTATTCATTCTATCTAACTATTTTTGTATCCATTAACTATCTCCACTTTATACTTCCATCCTACTACCATTCCCAGTCTCTGGGGAGCATCATTCTATCTCCATTAGTTTAATTGTTTTTAGCTCCCTCATATGAGTAAAAAATAATGTGATAATTTTCTTTATGTGCCTGGTTTATTTCACTAACATCTTCCGGTTCCATCCATGTTGTTGCAAATGATGGTATTTCATTCTTTTTTTTATAGCTGAATAATATTCCCTTGTGAATACGTACTACATTTTCTTTATCCGTTCATTCATTGATGGACACTTAGGTTGATTCCATATCTTTGCTATTGTGAATAGTGCTGCAATAAACATGGGAGTGCAGATATCTCTTTATCATACTGATGCTCTTTCTTTCTGGATATTTACCCAGCAGTGGGATTGCTGCCATATATGGTAGTTTTATCTTTAGTTTGTTGAGGAACCTCCATGCTGTTCTCCATAGTGGTTGTACTAATTTATATTCCCACCAAATGAGAGTTCTCCTTTGTCCACATTTTCACCAGCATTCGTTGTCACTTGTCTTTCAGGTCAAAGTCATTATAACTGAAGTGAGATAATATTTCATTGTAGATTTGATTTGCATTTCACTGATAATTAGTGAAGTTTAGCAATTTTTCATATACCCACTGGCCATTTATATGTCTTCTTTTGAGAAATGCCTACTCAAATATTATGCCCATTTTTAAATTGGATTCTTCATTATTTTCTGACTGAGTTATTTGAGCTTCTTATATATTCTGATTATTAATCCCTTGTCGGATGGGTAGTTCGCAAATATTTTACTTTGCAACCCACAGGGGTTGTCTCCTTACTTTGTTGATTGTTTCTTTTGCTTTGCAGAAACATTTTTTAGCTTGATATGATCCCATTTGTCCTATTTCTGATTTCTCTATTCTGTTCCAAAAGTCTATGTGTCTGTTTTTTTCTTTGGCTGCCTGTGTTTTTGAGATCTTACTTAGAAAATCTTTGCCCAGACCACTGTCTTGGACTGTTTCTTCAATGTTTTCCTCTACTAGTTTCATAGTTTCCAGTCTTAAATTTGTCTTTAATCCACTTTCATTTTATTTTTGTATATGGTGAAAGACAGGGGTCTAGTTTCATTCTTCTGCATGTGGTTATCTAGTTTTCTCAGCACCATTTATTGAAGAGACTGACTTTTCCCCAATGTATGTTCTTGGCACCTTTGCTAAAATTGAATGTGGATATATTACTGGGTTCTCTATTCTGTTCCACTGGTCAATGTGTCTGTCTTTATGCCAATACCATGATGTTTTGGTTACTTTAGTATTGTAGCATAATTTGAAATCAGGTAATGTGATGCCTCCAGTTTTGTTCTTTTTGCTCAGGATGGCTTTGGCTATTCTGTGTCTTTTGTGATTTCATATAAATTTTAGGATTATATTTTCTATTTCTGTGAAGAATGACATTGCTATTTTTATAGGTATTGCATTAAGTCTGTAGATTGCCTTGGGTAATATGGACATTTTAACAATATTGATCCTTCCAATCCATGAGCATGGAATATCTTTCCATTTTTTTGTGTCCTCTTCAATTTCTTTCATCAATGTTTTATAGTTTTCATTGTAGAGATCTTTCACTTCCCTGGTTAATTCCTGGGTATCTTATTTTATTTGTAACTATTGTAAATGGGATTACCTTGTTGGTTTCTTTTTCAGATTGTTTGCTCTTGGCATATAGAATTGCTATTTATTTTTGTATGTTGATTTTGTATCCTGTAATTTTACTAAATTTGTTTATCAGTTCTAATAGTGTTGTTGGTGGAGTCTTTAGGTTTTTGTAAACATAAGGTCATATTTTCTGCAAACTAGGATAATTTGACTTCTTCTTTTCCAATTTGGATGTTCCTTATTTCTTTCTCTTGTCTAAATGCTCTGGCTAGGACTTTCAGTACTACGTTGCATAAAAACGGTGAAAATGGTCATCCTTGTCTTGTTCCATATTTTAGAGGAAAGGAAAGATTTTCTGTTTTTCCTCATTTCGTATGATACTAGCTGTGGGGTTGTCATATACAGCTTTTATCATGTTGAGATATATTCCTTCTATACCCAGTTTTTTGAGAATTTTTATCGTGAAGGGATGTTGAATTCTACAGAATGCATTTTCAGCATCAATTGAAATGATCATATGGTTTTTGTCCTTTGCACTGTTTTGATTTTGCACTGATGTTCTTCAGACATGTTGGTTGGTAGTTTTCTTTCTTTGTTATGTCCTTTCCAGGTTTTGGTATCGGGGTGATACTGACTTCATAGAATGAGTTAGGGAGAATTCCCTCTGTCTCAATCTTTTGGAATAGTTTCAGTAGGATTGGTGCCAATTCTTTGAATATCTGGTAAAATGCAACTGGGAGTCCTTCTGGGCTTTTATTTTTTGTTGACAATTGTTTTGATTACTGATTCAATCTCACTGCTCGTTATTGGTCCTTTCAGGGTTTCTATTTCTTCCTTATTTAATCTAGAAGTTTTGTACATGTCCAGAAATTTAGCCTTTTTCTCTAGGTTTTCTAGTATGTGTGCAAAAAGGTGTTCCTAGTAGTCTCAAAAGATCTTTTGTATTTTTGTGGTGTCCGTTGTAATGTCTCCAGTTTCATTTCTAATTGAGCTTGTTTGAATCTTCTCTTATACCTTCTTGGTTAAACTAGCTAATGTTCTATTGATTTTGAGTCTTTTTTCAAATAATCAACTTTTTGTCTTGTTGATCTTTTGTATTTTTTTGTTTCAAATTCATTTGGTTCTCCTCTGATCTTTGTTATTTCTTTTCTTCTGCTGACTTTGGGTTTAGTTTGTTCTTGTTTTTCTAGTTCCTTGAGGTGTGACATAATGATGTCAATTTGTGATTTTTTGAACGTTTTTATGTAGGCATTTAATGCTATAAACTTTCCTCTTAGCATTGCTTTTGCTGTAACCCAGAGGTTTTGGTATGTTGTGTCACTATTATCATTCATTTCGAACGATTTTTAAATTTCCATCTTGATTTCATTGTTAACCTAAAAATCATTCAGGAGAAGATTGTTTAATTTTCATGTATTTGTATAGTTTAGAGATTTCCTTTTGGAATTAATCTTGAGTTTAATTTTCCACTGTGGGCTGAGAAGATAACTGGATATGATTTTGATTTTTAAAAATGTACTGATACTTGTTTAATGACCTATCATATGGTTTATCTTGAAGAATGTTCCATGTGCTGATGAGAAGAACGTACATTCTGCAGTTCTTGGATAGAATGTTCTGTAAATATTTGTTAGATCTATATTTTCTAGAATGTGGTTTAATCCATTGACAGCACTAGACAGATCATTGAGACTTCTGTCTCAATGTAGTTTTAAAGTCCCCACTATTACTGTGTTAATTTCTATCTAATTTCTTAGATTGGGTAGTAATTGTTTTATAAATTTAGGAGCTCCAGTGTTAGGTGTATATAAATTCAGGATTGTAATATCTACTTGTGGGATCAATCCTTTTATCATTATGTAATGGCCTTCTTTGTCTTTTTTTTTTTAACTGTTGTTTTAAAGTCTGTTTTATCTGATATAATAGCTACTCCTCCTTGCTTTCAGTTTCTATTTGCATGGAATATCTTTTTACACCCCTCTACCTTGAGTTTGTATGAATCCTTATCTGTTAGGTGAGTCTCTTGAAGACAGCAGACACTTGGTTTCTTATGTTTTTATCCATTCTTACAATCTGTATTTTTTAAGAGGAGCATTTAGAGCATTTATGTTCAGCATTAGTATTGAGATGTGAGGTGCTGTTTCAGTCATCATGTTAATTGTTACCTAGATACTTTGTTTTCTTCATTGTGTTATGTTTTATAGGCTCTGTGAGTTTTATACTTTCAAGAGTTTCTATACTGGTGCATATCAACCTTTTGTTTCAAGATTTAGAGCTCCTTTTAGCATTTCTTGTATGGCTCATTAGGTAGTAAAAGACTCCTTCAGCATTTGTCTGAAAATGACTTTATCTCTCCTTCGTTTATGAAACTAAGTTTTGCTGGATATAAAATTCTTGGGTGACAGTTATTCTGTTTAAGGAGGCTGAAGGCAGGACCCCAATCCTTGCTGACTCGTAAGATTTCTGCTGAGAAGTCTGCTGTTAGTTTTCCTTTAAAAGTTACCTGTTGCTTTTGCCTCACTGCTCTTAGAATTATTTCCTTCATGTTGACTTTAGATAACTTGATAACTATACGCCTTGGGAATGTTCTTTTTGTAATGAGTCTCCGAGGACTTCTTTGAGCTTCTTGTATTTGCATATCTCAACCTGTAGCAGGGTCAGAAAAGTATTTCCTCAAATTAGTTTCCAAACTTTTTACTTTCTCTTCTCCC